TAATATTTAGATTACGATGGTCTCGGTGTCTCAGTAATTTTGCACTACTTCATGAATTTAGTTTACTTATTTCACTTTTATTATGTTAAATGAAAGACGACAAAGATAAGCAAAATTTATAACCTTTCAATCAATTTACTGCACGTTCTATGCAATAGCGCCACTTTACTTTTTTCTGGTTTAAACATATCAATATGGGTTTTAAAAAGCTGAACGTTTAAACCTTGTTTAAACGTTCTCGAATTTACAGTTGAAATCGACTTTCAACATAAGTCTTTCTTTTCTACTTCAAAGCTTTCAAAATATGTTTCATTTAAGTTTATAAAATATGGCATATAGTTCTTTTGTCTTTGAAATAATTCAAGCAGGTGTGGCTTAATTTGATGAAAACAAATCTGATCTAACACAGTCTTGCTTGCAGACACTCTTCCATAGGATATATTTTTGTTGAAGTGCATACTCGTTACATCAAACATGATGCTTTTGTTTCAAAGAAAAACAACAGCAATATGATGCATTTTATCGTGCAAAAGTTGGCAGGGTAATGCTATGACTAAAATAACCAGGTAAAACCAGCAAAAAAACATTCTTTATTTCTTTACATACAAACAAGCTTTAGAAAGAAAATAATTATTAGATACTTCAAAATATTAAAAACACTTGACCTGTACTGCAAAATGATCTATTTTTCTATTTGACTAAATATTTTTCTACTGTTCTGTTGTTGTTACAACGGTGATGAAAATAGGATGTTACGACGGTGAAAGCGCGATGGTATATTGATAAAAGCGCGATGACACGACTGTGAAAACGCGATGACACGATGGTGAAAACGCGATGGTACAATGGTGAAAACGCGATGGCACGATGTTGAAAACGCGATGGTACGATGATGAAAATGGGATGGTACGAAAGTGAAAGCGCGATGGCGCGATAGTGCGATGGTGATATCGTACCATCGCAACTTCAACATCGCACCATCGCGTTTTCACCATCGTACCATTGCAACATCGCGCAATCGTGTTTCTTCATCATGCCATCACTTTTTAACACCATTTCTTAAACGAAAACAAGTGGTCTTGATCTAATTAGGGGATTTTTTTCACTATTTGAGGCCTCAAAAGTGGGTAAAAAAGACGTGAAAAGACGTGTATATGACGTAATGGTTGCAGAAAATATCAATGTTGTTAATTAAAGCATATTTATATTGGCTTCTATTTAAGGTGTTCCTTTTACTATGGAAGCTTGAATTGACCCCCCCCCCCGAGATGCCGTGGTCCGTGATAATTTATATGTGGTCATGTTGACATATGTTAGTGCGACATGGCGTGTTTTATCATGTTTTTGATGGAGAAACATAGAATCTTTACAACATTTGTATCAGGGCATTTCGACATTACTTTTGTCTATTATAAAACAAGACGGGAACAATTTGAACATCAAAATTATTGTTCGGAAACTAAATCCCACCCATCGAGTAATGACAGACGTGCTATATCATTGATTTTATTTATAAACTAAATATTTTGATTCGTCCATTATTAAGAAAACAATGTCGGGTATATTAAAAGTTTATCAGTCTGATGTTTAATTTGATCTAAATGTGTCAATTGAGTTGAATTTTTACCATAAAAGCTGTGAATTTTGTTTAATAACCTTACTGGAAATAAAATATGTTAAATAACTTAAATACCCTTTCGTCGGACACTTTTGAAGATAAACATAACAATAAGTTTTATGCATAAACTAACATTCGAATGCATTTTGTAGGCTAGCTTGTATCTATCTGGCTGGCAGTAAAACCAGAAACATATATCAGTCAGTATTCACTGAACTGTTCACTATTTAGTGGAGATGATGTGTAAGCGGCCGGAATGCCGCGGTACGGTATTCCGCGATAACCCGGATTCGAGTCCCGGTCAGGCTGCACATTTTTTCACACCCTGGGACACGTATATAAAATATAAAACATTGCTAACCAAGCACTGACTAAAATTATTTATCTGGTATAACAGCTAGTTAGATAAAAACGCGTGTTCAAAATGCACTGCATATACGGACATACACCAACTTTTGTATTAAAATACAATTGACCTTTCAAAGTGTCTACCGAAATGTTCTTTCAAGGATGAACCATTCAATGTATTAAGTTTTTGGTTTGGTGGGATGGGTTAAGTTTTCGAATATTAATTAGGTATTTCCGACAGTGCCAATGATGTTAAACGTTGTGATATTTTCCAAAAAGCAGAGATATAACAAGGCTTGTCGAGATGAAATAGGTTGACATAGCTTTTCGAAATTCACATAAACTCCATTACTGACAAAAAATATGTCGACATACCTTGAAACAAACTTTGTCAGTACGTCTTTCTTATCCCACCAAACAATAATAAAGGACGCCAAGTCGCGTAAATATATGCCGACATGACGACACACAAGTAGTCACGAACATGGCATCTAGGGGGTCAATTCAAGCTTCCATATTTTACAGAAAGTCAAACTGATGACAGACTGACTCCGTACGAAAATGAAATGCTTACACGACATATAACGTCACATATGACCTCAAAAACAATTTATGTCAAGAAAAATACTTCTACGCTCAATGAAGTTCATCATTTTTTTATATAAATTTTCCTTTTTTAACATATTAGAATGAATTAAGATATAAATTTATCGTGTATTATTGTATAATTATTAACAGTTTATCGTTTCAATGCTTTGTAATTCGTCACTTACGCCTATCGGCCTTCGTGATGATATTCCTACGCATTTGAACTCGAACCGAGCATTATTCTACAACAATGCACCCATAATTGATATCTATTTCCTAAATAATGTTCAAGTGTTAAACTAATTATATCGTTTATTTAGTTGACTTCAATGCACTTTACTTAAGTATTGTAGTGTAATTGTATATGACTGTTTAATGATATCAATTAAAACTATGACTGTAAAGTTTTAAACAAAATGGGTCTAAAAACCAACAGCATATTTGAAATAGAAACTTTGTAGTTTTTACGAGATAATGTGACCTAACGGTTGTTATACATAAAAAAAACCCTTATATCAAATCCGTGAGTACAGATTGATGCAGTTAGAACTTACTATATATAAATGTCAGTTTTAAACCGGATTACCAATATATTTGCTTCTTTTTTCTGTCTTTTATAGACAAATTTCTATGAAATATTGTGCAGCAATCGAATGCAGGATAACAAAAATACCAAGCGCACAACTGTTCTACCGGCAATCATCGGATCTACTTGCAACCACTTAACGGGTGTATGTATAATTTAAGTCAATTTTTATTTTAAATAAAACGTTGCAACGGTTTAAAATTACAGCATCAAAAATATAGCAAAACTTTATTTTTTTGTTGTTTTTTTGTCATCAGACAAGACATGTATGAATCATCTACATGAGTCTGTGGTGTAATGTTATCTTTTGATGACGCCAAAACTTCAATATGTTGGATAGTAGCTTTAAAGTGATTTGAACACTTAAATATGTGACACGTAAAAAAATCGATTGTTATAGTATCCATCCGATTCGATGATCGATTTTGATTATATGCGATTGTCATAATATTCATGTGTCTGACAAAGAGTCATTTTGATAGTTAATCAACATAACAAATAAATTAAACGACATCTTTTATTATACTAAAATCTATGTTCATAATTACGAAACATTCATAAACATTTGCTTTGTACATGCAGTTAATATTCAAGACATTTAAAAACTATCATTTAGGGGGAAAATGACAATATTTTACACAATAAAGACTTCAGTTGTCTACTATGAAAACTATATATCATTTTATAAGTTTAGCAAATCCAGTGAACAGTTTTAATTTCAATATTTCTGAAATCAATCTTTATTTGGTGATAAATGATATTATAAATATAAATATTTAATACTCCATATTGTCATCACACATTTTTATTTTTCTAAATAATTAACTATAATCATTTAACTTTATTAGGTATCACTTGACATAACACAATATCTTCTTTGTTTTCATAACTATTCATGATATCATTTTATTATTCACAAATTAAATATGTGAATTCAAAAGAAAAGGTGGTAAATGACAAAAACAAAGAACAGAACATTTATTTTATTAGATTTGTACCATAAGTACATCATCGTAACATATTTACAAAATTGATACATTTACATGTAATATAATACAGTCACATGATAAACCAGTGTTTATAAGTATCGAATCGCAATAACACATACATTACATTTACACATTTACATTTAATAAAATTACAATTACATGATATTTTAAGCATACAATTTCATCGTTTTTCTGTTTTAAGAGGATGGTCTTAAATATGTGCAGCAGATGCTCTTCAAGTCATGGTACGTTTAATATAAATAGCTAAATTTGTGAGAATTGTTCTTCTATCATTTTTTAATTGTTTTAATAGTTCTACAAATTTAAACATGCTTGGTTAAACATAATAATACTTTTTTATGTATAGTTTCCTTAAATCAATATAACATGGGCAAATCAAAATGAAATGATACTCGTCCTCAATGTCGTGCTTATCACAGTATAAACAATAACGTTGATTTCTATCGATTCTTTGTGTACTGTATCGACCTGTTTGAATTTTGTTAAATAACACCTTAAATTTTAAGGCAAAATATCCAAGAACTTCTCGTACTCAAAATTACTTTAAACGTGATAATAAACTTCATAAACAGTACTGTTTTCCTTATTTACATGCCATCCTTGAACAAAACTATCGACAGTCCGATGTTTAAAACATAATATAAATGTCTTTTCACAAACAGTATCATTCGAATCCCACATATATGCAAAACCATAAGCAGATAATATTTTTTCACATTTGACAACCAGTTTTCTTGTCCCAATAAACAATCATCATTAGCAATTCTATACGCATGCTGTAATATTATATTGTCTGTTTTAGTCAGTTTAAATCAATATTTAATATTTCGTACATATCTCATAATATAAAGTGGATATCGTGCAATTTCACCATATACAGCCGTTGACCATGTCGTCGTTTTGACCTTTAATAATGTTTTACAAAATTTGAGATGTATTCTTTCAATTTCCTTAGATTTACTGAATCCCCATATTTCTAATGCATAATTTAAAATAGAACCAACAAATGAATCAAATAATTGACAAATAAATTTTAGGCGTTAATCTATAGTTGTGACAATTAATAAGTAACAAATTTAAGGCTTTAAATGCTTTACCAACTAAATGCTCTTGATTTAGAACTAAACTACCTGTATAATTAAACATTGTACCCAAATATGTAAAATTATCCAAAATTTCAAGACTTATACTATTGTAGAAAAATTCTTCATTACTTAATAAACCACCACGCCTCCTAAATACAACAATTTTTGTTTTATCGGTATTTACTTCTAGACTCTAAGTTTCACAATAAGTACATAAAAGCTTTAATGATTGTTTTACATCATCAGGCGATTCACCCAAAATAATCATATCATTAGCAAACAACGGCAAAATAAGTATAATATTGTCAATAGTAAGACAAGAGTCTGTATTCTGTTGTAGAAAATAATATGGCCGAAATAACTTCCCTTTGTCTGAAGCCTACATCGTTTTCAAAAAGTAAGAATAGGTATTACACAACCTTACGCAAGACTTAACTTTTTCATTCATAATTTTAACAATACGTAGCAATTTACCTATAATTCCACTTTTATAAAGCTTTAACCATAGGGTATTTCTATATATTCTGTCAAAACATTTTTTAAAATCAATAAAAACACAATAAAGACGTTTATATACTTTTAAATACTTCTGTTACTAATGTTAACAAGATAAACAAAGCATCAACTGTCGATTTTCCTTTTCTAAATCCAAACTGCGCATCAGATATAATATTATTTTTATTACAATAAGTCATAATCCTTTTATTCAAAATTGATGTAAATAATTTCGACAACTTACAAGCGTGATTCCCCTGTAATTATTTACGTCGTTTTTATTGCCTTTTTATGTAATGGAACAATAACGCCTTCAGTCCACATATCAGGAAAATGACCACTATCAAGTATATAACCAAAAATATCACATATATGAGATGACAATAAAGTTCATTACTTTTGTCTGGTTTTATTTCAGCATGTGAATTATATTGTTATTTGCTTATAAGTGAAGTTATGTTTGTCCTTTTAAAATATAGAGTGTTTCCAGTTCTCTTCATTTAGTCATCTAAGTTTTTATCTTAGGGTTTAAACACAGTGTATATACATGTATATCATTTGAATTCATTCCTACAATCAGTCTTGATCTGTGGCTGTCAAATGCGACAGAAAAGGGATTGCGCAATCCCTCTGATGCTCCTATTAGCACTCCTTTTTTATTTCCACTCTTGTCTATTTGTATGATTTTATTCGAACAAGAATCACTGACAAAAATCATATCTCTTGGTCCAACGCAAACACCCCATGCAGTTGATAACTCTTTGTCTTGAAGAAACCAATTCATTTTACCTTCTGTGTCGACAGATATTAGACCTGCGTTGTTATCTGTGACAATAATCTCATCGGTTAAGTTTTTAACAATTACCTGTCGTGTTGCGGCAAATAGTGGTCTTCCATAGGGACCAGTGTTTAATACTTTGAGTAGGCGACCTCTTTTGTTATACACATTTATATTTTTTCCACAACATGTAAACAGCTCGTCACTATTTCCATTATAGTAAATGCCATTGCAGCTTTTATCTACCTGAATAGTGGAAGTCAAACATATACTATCATTAACTGAAATAAATTGTATCTGACCAGTATTAAATATATTAACAGCAACCTCATTACTGTTGACATCACAAATCCCAATTGGGTTTCCATTTACTGCCAGTGTGTTTTTTATCTCATAGTTACTGTCTAATTGTTTTACCTTTTCATGGTGATAATCTATGATTACAATCGAATCATCAGATAATTGACATATTCCAGTTATGTCATGTTTAGACATATCAGTGTTTTGTTTGACACTGAATTTCCCATACAACTGGGCTTCATATTCTTGCACATCTTCTTTCTTACCCGGCGTTCCAAAGGACTTTATTTTAGATACCATACTTCTAGCGCTCTCGTTAAATGTATAAGTCATGTGTTTTGTTTTCCAAGTGGAAGACAGCTCACTAAGAACAGACTTACTATCCTTTACAGTTGTTTTACAAGCTTTCATATTCACGAATACCTGAGCCTCGTTGGTAACTGAACATTTTGGTAAGCTTGTGTCCAAGGTATGTATCAATATATGTAGGGAATGAATATCTGCAGTGATGGTTGTCTTTTCAGACTCAAATTCTGTTCGAATCTCTTTTCTAGTTGATTCAGCTATTCTCTTTACTTGGTCAATAAGGACACCTTGATATTTATCGATCACATCCAGTAATTTGTCTTTCTCTTTATCGAGTTTGACTATGTTTGCTGTCCTGATTGTTTGCTCTTGTTTCATGTCATTGATAGTAGCAGCAACAGAATCTTTTATATCTTTGAATTCTTCACAAGCAAGGACACCTTTTGCTATATCTGGTACATAATCAATGTTGGCACAAGCCCTGAAGATATATCAAACAAACGGAAAATAAGCGGTATCATTTCAATAACTGAACATATGTTGTGAATGTTACGAGAAAATTGCAAAGAATGAGTTATTAACGGTACAGTGCTCGACAATTAACATGGGGGTATATTGCTTAGAATTGTTCATGACCAGGACAGTATCATACTATACAAGACAAGAATAAAGATCCACATGGCAAAGGCAACGTTCACAGGACGCAGACCCCGACACACCCGAGTAGGGCACCCGGAAGGCACCAAACCAAAACCTGGTGTGGACATAAGGGCGGTGAAAAGGACAGGGACATGTAATGTGTGAAATAATATAAACTAAAACGAGCCCATATGGGAATTAAAGGGATGTAAACATTCAAAAACATGTAACAACACAGTCATGAAAAAACACGTGAAGAAACACAAAGGGGTACCGCCTTGGAACGGTCAGTGGTAGTTAAACCATTGGGGAGTTTAAACCGGTTTTAGGCGCGCCAAACATCACTCTTAGCCCCAATATGTTCCTGAATGACATGAAAGTGTAAATAAAATTAATCCCCGCCAAAAGAAATTCTAACAATGGCCATGGTTACATTAGACGGAATAAATAAAAGACATACAAACTTATGGAAATATGTAGAAAAGGTACAGCTTAATGACCAATACCAAAGTACTCGATGCCTTAAAAGAAGGCAGAGCAACACGAAAATTTCGTACAAGGGCCCCGACGAAGCAAGACAGAAGACGAACATTAAGACAATTCTGTCCCAAAGGGCTTTAAGAACTGTCAATCATAGAATCTCCCACTTAGTCCGTCAGATGTAATAAAAAGAGGAAAGCGTAGCATCCAACTGTAAAAGGGCTGAACACCAATCATGTGGTATGCCTTAAAATAATTGGGTCATAACCTCTTTTAATAAAAAATTCTGGAAACAAAGTGATCCCTCGGAAGCATTAATTACAACAAAATAACATAAGAATTGCAGACTCGGTTATTACCAAACCTGACATAAATGTTATTTAATAAAAACGAAAGTGCTTTACAATCTTTGTCACAGGTCCACATTGTACATTGTTTAATGATACCATTGGTAAAGAAAGACTTCTTTGAATTGCAAGCAAGATACGTAACATTTTCTCTTAAAAATGTTTTTTTTTAATTAAAGGTAATAATTTATCATTTATAAGATTATGTGGCAATGTTGTATATAGGGTAGCGATATCGTAAGTACTTACAGATGAAGCTTGATAATTCTTAACTTTAAACTTATCTAAAATATCATTTGAATTTTTAACAGACCGAAAAAGATTTTTGCCCGATTTTCATAAACTGTTTCACAGTATCTAATGACATGTGCTTTGATGGCAGTAAGGCAAGAAGTCAATAAAATAGAAAGATTACATGAAGTACAAAATGTAGAAGTAGCAATGAAGCGGGCTTTATATGGGTGTTTATGTTTATGTAATTTTGGAATCCAGAACATAATAGGAAGTTTAAGCTCTGTCTCATCAACACGTACTTTAAAGTTAGAAATACTAGAAATATGACTGTCCACAATATCTCTTTCAGAGAATAAACAATTCTGCTGTTAATTTTATTTTGTAAAACATTTATGTAATGAATACGTCATACTATAATAATGTTATTAGCCGCCTTGTCAGTCGGTATAAAAAAACATTTAGAGTGGAACGCTAATATATCCTTTCTAAGATGTCGTAAAGTAAGTCTAGGTTTAGATGGTAAAAGATCTTCATTCCCACGATAAAATTCTATACTTGATTCAATAATATTAATTAATATAATATGTTTCCATGTATTAAGTGCATTACTATCAGCATTTTCGCGACGACACCATTTAACTGAAAAGTCCTCGATCGATTCAGCTATCTGACTTCGACAAACATTAAAATCAATATCGGAAGAAATTCTATATTTTGGTCCTCAAAGAAATAAATTACGGATTCTCTTGTCGTTAATTATATCAAAATCACCAGTGATTATATGGCCAAAATCCAAGTAACAGAATTTTGAACTTTTGCAGTGTCAACTATTTGGTGTTTTAGACTCAACATTTATGTCGGAGATAATTTTGTTATAATTGGATATGGTATTTCTGACGTTTTATATGCGTATTATATTTATAGCAAATAACTGGAATCTAAGAGTTTTTGAAATATTTAGGAATCGCGTCGGTAACGCGTTTATCACGAAAAATACTAGGTAAATCGATGAAATCAATACCTTTGTTTAGAAAAGTAACTTTAAGAAAGTGTATGTCATGTTCAGCGGTGGTGTCGATACGAGGTCTTAAAATATGCTGTGTAAAATTTTGTTTAAGGCAGGCTGCATATATAAAGGGTCAGTTTGGATAACTATGTAATAACTACGGCCCATGCAGAAACATACATACTAAGAAACAAATAACGCAAAAATAAAGCATGTGCACAGTGTTTAAACACATAACATGTAATCTGTTTTTCCTCAATATTTTTTAATGTCGACAAACCTCAAATTCAAGATCATGTGAGCCTATCCTAAAATTTGAGTACATGTATCTAAATTTTCCAGAAGACAAACCCTATTTATTTCTTTGTCAAGAGGGTGAAACGTGTCAAAGTCATATTGACCTTGTAGGTAAAAACGGTTTCCAATAGCCTCACAGCCCATGGACCCTTGGCCCTCAAAATGCATAGGCTAAGACCGGTAGATGACCCCTATTGATTTAGGGGGCAATGGTCAAGGACATACTGAGCTTGAAGGTAAAAACAGTTTCTGATCAATTTCTTAACAATGCATGTGCCTGTGGCCCTCAATCTACATATGTGCATTGGTCTTGACGAGTAGATGACAATTCAATTTCGCCGGCTGTAGAGATGTTATACGTTCCAAATATATTCTTATTTTTATACTCAGATCAAGTGTTATTGAAAAAGGAAAAGAAAAGTATTACCTATGTTTCAAAGCTATGCAAACCCCACAGCACACTTCGTCATGAATATTACAAAACATATCCATCAATTGTCCATGATGTTTATTGCATTGTTCCGTCGGCAGCTTTTTCGTCACCTGTTTAACCTTATCTGTCCGACATTTTGTCACATCTACAATTTCATGCGACTGTAGTGAAGGTATTTTCTTATGAAATCTCACACAGTTTTTGCAGAAATTTAATTGACACTCCTTACAAAACTTCTTAGCCTCTGTGATCCTATTATCGTCACTGCAAGATGAACAACAAGTGTCAAACATCTCCTCAGAATCCTTTGAAATATTTGTGAAATCTTTACTAGTCGCCATATTGTCGGTGTCTATAAACACTAGATAACAAACGACCCAATATTCTATATCACTTATTTTCGAAAAATGTTCTATAAGTAGATAAGGTAGGCAGATAACCGGGTTGTAAACGTGACTGGTTATTCATTGTTACAAATGTTATGTTCGTGTAACATTTAAACGTTTTTGTATTATATTTAAAACTCAATATCATCAGTGGCGTACCTACCGATACGCCAATACGCACGGGCGTATAAAAAGAAAAAGCTTCGAAAAAATAATATTTCAAAAATGAAATCATTGATTTAGGCGTCGATCGATCAAAGTATTCGTAGCTGCTAATTGATTCTACAGGTATACTTAGGATGTAACCTTATTCTAATATGCGTTACCTTTTTATGCACAATCAAAATTTCAATTATGAAGAAAGGGAGTAAAAATATGATATAAACAATTTCTTTGGAACTTTCTCTTTTTTCAGCTTGAGTTAAGCGTTATAATGCTAATAAACATCGTCAAATTCCAAATAAGGATAAGAAATTAGCCAACTTTTTTCAGAAGAATCAAATCATTGAAAAGTAAACATTTATTTCATTTTTCACATCTAGATCTATATGCAAAATAAAGATCTTGTTTGCAATTTGACGTTTGCGGCACAATGGAAGGGAGTGAGTGAGCTGTATGGAATGTCTTTTATATTTTACCTTGTAACTATAAATCAGTGTATTATTTTAAAGATAGTAATATTCATTTAACCCTTTACCTCATATATACGCGAAACAACGTACTTTCGACCGCCCCCCCCCCCTTTTAGGCCTCAAATATTGAAAAATGTCCTATTTGGGCCCCAAACACATGTTTTCGTTTGAGAAATGTTGCAAAAGAAATGAGCATTTTTTCGGCCCCGTACCCCATCCAAAAGATACATCAGGGGGTTGCCAGAAGGGGGATGTGCCCCCTTCTGTTAGGGGGTGTGAAGGGGGGCGGAGTCCCCCTCATCGCCAAGAAAATTTTAGACTTGTGAGAGGCTAAAAATGAGAAGTTGCAGCACTTTGAAATAAATTTTGATGGAAAAAATCGAGGCAATATAGTGATTTTTGGCAATTTTGAGATGTCCCCTCGTTGCCATGGAAACAGGAATTTTAAGACTGAGCATGTCGTTACAAAGGCAATGGTCCAGTCAACATTTGTGCCAAGTTTGATGAGTATTGAAGCATTTTTCATAGTTTCATAGCAGTTTGAACTTGTAACAGGAGGCTTTTCAGTGAAAACGGCCATTTTTCACAATATGCTCATGGGGGAAAGGATTAACTTATATTCATTTCAAATTATGTAGAATAGTTCTGACATTGTGAATCAGATCTTTGCAGTTAACTATTGCCACATTCATCATCACAAACCAAATTCAACTTTTGTTTATTTGACCGTAAAAAAGAATACCAGTATTTACAAAATGTATCACTTCAGAAAATTATATATATGTATATAATTATATATTCTTTATTATATGTAGTTTCATCTATATTTTTTAATACATAGACAAATATACAACGAGATCAATGTATAACCATATACGACACATCATGACTAAATTCTTTTATAACATAAGATAACAAATTGGCGAGTCTGTTTATACCAACATGCTTTATGTGCGTGAGGCATTTAACTACTACGTAATGAAATAACTTAAATATTTCGAATGGAAAATGAAAGACCAGAGTCAGGATCAAAAATGTTAAATACAATTGTTATTGTCTACAACATTGACATAATACGCATTAAAAATATTTTAAGGAAGCTAAATGATCGCCCGATACTACATTTTAGCTGTAATTTCGATAATTTTTCGTTACACTAAACATTTAAGCTGGTGTGTTTGTATTAAAGTCATACAGACCATTTTAAAGCATAATTTCCTTGATTATATCTCACGTTAAGTTTTGGTGAAACAAAAGAAAAATGACAAAGAAAAAAACTAAACTTAATTGTTACAAAAGGAAATAAAACCCATCTGTTTTACAAGAGACAACCAGGCTATGTTTTTTTTTCTAAAAGCGTAAAAGTGTACACGTTAGACTTCGTGCTATTTCTCTTACATTCAATATATGTACTTGATGTTATTTTCATAAATATAGATAACAGTAGTACAATTAGCTTAAATATCCCCTTAATCCTTAGTTATAGCACATAGCTATTTGTGATATATAATTAAGTCTCTGGCGATCCCTCCGCCAAAAATCGGCACTCAGTTTATATGGAGCAGAATTTGGGTATTTATTCGCTGTTTATCTTTCAATTTCTATTTATTTTCTTATTCATTAAATTCTTATCTATAATCATATAAATTTAAATTGATTTAAACAAGTTTAATTGCTACTTTTTGATTGACAGTTAAACATTTGTATTTTGATACTGCAGAATGTCTACTTCTTGTATAAACAACGTGATTAGATATTATGTTGCATACTTCTTCCTTTTCAATTTGAATAATTTAGTTTTAACTTATGATCTTGAACATCCTCTCTTTTAATAATACAAAGTGGGTTACATAACACTGAAATAAAATCTATACGAATGCACCTAGACGAGTACGAACTGCAATAACACGAATACGAAATTACATTTGAAATTTAAAATTCATACACTGGCCGGGAACCAATATTTCCGTACATGTCCGTAATTTCTGACGGTGTAACCGTTGCAATGTTCTCTTCAAAAAAATCCACGAAAACCAGGGTAGCACTCCACAGTTAATTTCAAGTTCCTGCCGTCAATGTCCTACAAGCAATACGTCTACTAATTCTGATACCGAACTACACAACCTGGAAAAAGAAAACACGTTTTGTTGAAACACATACGACATAAGATTGCAAATCTACAAAGAAATTATCCCATCTGCAATAGGCAGGCAGTCAAAAAAGTTGCAATTCATTCCGTTGAAGCACAAAATCTACAGTGGCCCGAGACCCAAAACAACACATTTCGTCCCTCTGGCAAAAAATACCTGCAAATATACAGGCTAAAGGAACACCGTCTCTGCTATACATGCAAAATATCTAAAAGAAACTGGTGCTCAACCTTGTAGTTACCGTGCATGCTGTTGAAAGGCAATGTATACAAAAAAATGGCCGCCTTCACATCTATAATCAAGAGCATGTGATTTCTTTTCTGGCCATGTTGTCGAATTTGCCAGTGATCTTAAAAGATGTCACAAAAACAAATTTCATGCTGAAATGCACTTTAAAGACAACCAGTCATTTAACTTTTTCCCTTAAATAGACGTGTTTTGACGGCTTTTTGCCCCCGCCCCCCCCCCCCCCATCCCCATTTTGAGGCCTCAAACAGTGAAAAAATGCCCTATTTAGACCCCATTACTGTTTTTCATTTGAGAAATGCTGTTTAAAAAAGTGACCACTTTTTGGCGCCCCCCCCCCCCCAAAAAAAAAAGTACATCAGGGGGTTGCGAAAAGTTTGGGCGGTTTGAAGGGGGCGGTAGTCCCCCTCATCGCCAAATTTTCTTTTGACATGTGACAGGCTAAAAATGGCCTCAGGTCTATTTCAGGGTAACTAGTAACCGACGCTGAAAAGCTCTTTACTCTATCTAAATTCATTGAGAAGTTTGCAGCACATAGAAATCAGTTTTGATGGGAAAAAAACAATGCAAAATAGTGATTTTTCGCAATTTTGAGACGTCCCCCGTTGCCATGGTAACAGAAAATTTACGATTGAGCATGCTGTTACAGAGGCTATGGTCCAGTCTATATGTGTGCCAAATTTCATCAGTATTGAAGCATTTTTCATAGTTTCATAGCAGTTTGAACTTGTAACAGGAAGATTTTCAATGAAAACGGCCATTTTCACAATATGCTTATGGGGTAAAAGGTTAAAAGGTAAAATCCAGAATATTCACTATATCGAAGAAATCCTCACTGTGGCTTACATTACTGTGGTGTGCTACCTATAAACTTGTATTAAATCGCCGCGTAGCATTGTATCCTCGTACCCTGTGCTCACGGAAAATACCGAAGCGATACATGAGTTATCTCCCGTTACTAAGATTTTGCGCTAGAAATTTCAGGTCTGGTACCAGCTATGACACAAAAAGCAAATATCAATCACGTGACTTCTAGTTTTTATTTGTTCTGCTGTTCTTCTTATTGAAATGAGTCAGTTTTATTAAGGTGGTTTAATATTAATAATTTCATGAAGTTAGAATATGGATAAATCTCTATAATAACAATTCTTAAAGCCTCTACATACAAATTTATTTTCAGTGTGATTCGAATGGGAATAAGAGTTGAACAAATACAGCTGTAAGTAAAAAGTTCGAGAAAACACACTTTCTTTTAAATAAGTAGAAATAGCACATGTTTTAAACAAAAAGTAATTTATTGGTATCTGATATTAAATTAAACGAATTAAGATGAAGTACTGGCATTGACTTTAGAATATTACTTTAGAACTTACTAAAAACATAGTAAGAAAGAATAAATAAGTATTTAAGTAAAGAACTTTGATTTCCTCACAGATGAATAAAATTTGTAGGAATATGATTTAAACTTAAGCAAATAAAAACAACAAGTAGTCAAATGAATAAATACCCAAATTCTGCTCCATAGGTTTTAAACTCATGATAAGCCGAGGTACGCCCCTGATCATGATTTGAATATCATGATTTCAACAAAAATCGTGCTATATATGTATTGATTAATGTTCATTTCGTTTAAAGATAAATATAAATAAAGTTAAATTTGCTAAAAATTAAAAGGGAGTATACAATATTGACAAATAAACCTAAGGGACGTTACACTTGCGCACCTACAATACAATTGTCTCCCTTATTAAGTAATATAACCGCAATATTATGTACATTTATTTAACATACTGCTGAAGATTCCACCCTATTTTTAAAATGATTCCAAATGCCCATGCCTTTCATTTTGTTTTTAAGTGAGACACATGCCGACTTGTTTGAGCTCAAGCCATTCTCACAAGAAATTCATATTTCTTTAGGCACTAAA